AGACGCCCCTCCGGACCGGCGGCTGCCCCACTCCGTCCTACCGCCAGCGTCATTCACACACTCAGTCCATCAGTCAGTCAGTCAGTCAGTCACATTCAGTCCGTCAGTCACACATTCAGTCCGTCAGTCCGTCACGCACTCAGTCCTTCAGTCAGTCAGTCAGTCAGTCAGTCCGTCAGTCAGTCCGTCAGTCAGTCCGTCAGTCAGTCCGTCAGTCAGTCAGTCACACACTCTGTCCGTCAGTCAAACATACAGTCCGTCAGTCACACTGGGCGGTAGTGTGACTGCCGGTTTCGCTCCCGGAGCAGTCTCGCTGTGTGCGCGTCTCAGCGCGTCGGCGGCCGTCGGTCCGTCGGTCCGTCGGTCCGTCGGTCCGTCGGTCCGTCGGTCCGTCGGTCCGTCGGTCCGTATCGTGTCCGTCCGTCGGTCTGGATGGTCCGTCGGTCTGGATGGTCCGTCTGGTCTGGATGGTCCGTCGGTCTGGATGGTCCGTCCCGTGTCGGTCCGTCGGTCTGGATGGTTCGTCGGTCTGGAGTTGGATGGTCCGTCTGGTCCGTCGGTCCGTCGGTCTGGATGGTCCGTCTGGTCCGTCGGTCTGGATGGTCCGTCTCGTGTCGGTCTAGATGGTCCGTCTGTCCGTCGGTCTGGATGGTCCGTCGGTCCGTCGGTCCGTCTGGTCTGGATGGTCCGTCTCGTGTCGGTCCGTCGGTCTGGATGGTCCGTCGGTCTGGAATTGGATGGTCCGTCTGGTCCGTCGGTCCGTCGGGAGGGAATCTGGATGGTGTACCGCTTAGGGCCGGTCGGGAATGCCTTCCGGTAGTCGGTCAACATCTCTTAAAGCTTGTTAACCCTATTAGTGGCAGGCTCCTGGCTACCCCCTGTTAGTGGCAGGGGGGGCTGTTTACGACCCCCCTTGATATCTCGAGTTCTAACCGATTTTCAAAATTCAAACGGCATTCGATTTCGCTCAACGAGATCTACATTTCTAAAAAAAATAGAATTGAAAAATGTCAATAGGGGGGTAGAGGGGGGTAAAAACGGACAAATTGCAGATACATTTTAGACTGTTTATCACGGCCAGGTTTCTGAACCAATCTTAACGCAACTTTTGCCGATCGATAGAGAATGAACCAGGAATTCACATGGATCCTAAAAATATGCATTTTCAAAAATCATAGGCGGATACAGATCATTGAGATTGGGGGTACACAAAAAGTATAGTAAATAAGGTTTTTGTTGGTACTGTTTCTAAAAAGGGTGGCAATGGTCTTGTTATGTTACAATTTTCTTATGAGAGAACGACTAAAATTGTATTGGTCATGCATAGGCGGTGTCAGGGCACCTATGTTGGGAGGTAAAAAATAACCCCCCTTTTTGGACGCCTGGATCCGCCTATTATAGCAAAAACGTGTCAAAAGAGGATGCACAATAACTTTGTAGGGTAGCCTGGGGCAAGACGCCCCAGATAATTTATTTTGCTACATAACTTTTGTCCCACATGACCTGGAGGGCTAAATTTGTGCTCAATGCGTTCTTTGGACATTTTACTTTAAATTCCACCCCTCAAATTACTTCACCTATGATCGGACTCCCAGCTAGGGAGCGATTTGTGAAGCAACTGCAAATGGGGCATTTTGCCCCAACCCCAGGGCAAAACGCCCCACGGCCTGGGGCAAGAAGCCCCATACTCTAGATTAAAGATTAAACATGGTAGTTGGCTAAATCTTATATGAGAGGTCCTTTACACCTCTGGAGGCACGGCACTGAAGTTACCACATTCCATCTTATCAGGTGTTCAGCTATGACGCTATTGTATGAGCAGCTTTTTCATCTGCCTCATAAGGCCAAATAATAAATTATTGCAATGCAAATGGTAACAAAATAATTCCTTTGCCATCCAGTTGCTGAGAAAAATACATATAAATGCATGATAACTTACTGTTTGACAGCTACCGAACATTAGAAAGTGGGTAGTCCGAACAACACATGAGGTAAAACGCCCCATGGGGCTTTTTGCCCCGCGACCTACTGGGGCGTTTTACCCCATCAAGTAGTTCGGTCAGAGAACAACGCCTTGCGCTCCAGCAAGACATAATTTAACACGAACCAACCCGGCATTATAAGCGTTAGACAATAGTTGTTCAAAATACGTTTCAGTCGCTAGCCTGATATGGACCATAAAAGAACGCCATGATGCATAATCAGACAACAAAACATAAAAATCACTCCAAAAACACATTTTTGGCTATATCTCCCTAAAGAGTTATCACAATTTCTTTTTCAGTTTGCTCATATAATGATCATATAGGGCACGTTTTATAGAAGAGAGGATGTTTCCCCAGAACCTTGCCAGTTCCGAGAAACATCGGTGAGGCGTTTTACCTCGGCGGGGCGACTTGCCCCGGTCTACCCTATATGTTATCACATGATACCTTTCATTCACTGTTCGTAAAACTGGTGCAGCATCGTGATCTTCGCCCAAATGACTCGCTTCACGAATAGGACCCCCCCAATTCCCAGTGCTCTGGAGCCGCCCCTGGTTAAGTTATGAACTTGAAATTTTCAGGGAATGTGCCCAATTTAGTTTTAGGAAAAGTCAGAAAATTTCAGCATCGTAGCTTCAGCGGTTTCGGAGATATTCCCGAAAAACCTGAGAGGTGGATAAAAACAACCCCTCCTGCCACTAATAGGGTTAACCCGCGCCCTGATGGGGGGCCATTTTGGCCCCCCTGTGGTTTTTCTTAAATAGCAAAAAAACGGCGGCGCGCAGCGCCGCCAAATTTTGGGTACCTTACCGGGCATCAATTTGACACCTTCACACAAAATTTCAAGTCACAGGTCACCTCAGGTCAGGAGTTATTGAGGTCAAACTGAGGTCATGTTCGAGTAAAAATGAGCAAAAAACATGACATCTTGAAACGCTCACCAATTCTACAGTTAACAAGCAATTTTAAAGTTTTTTATGTGGTTGTGTAGAGAAAAGACAGCGCTACAAAACTGCTATCTCGGATTTTCGAAATTTTGGGATTTTGACCCCCAAAAATAAAAAAATGATTTTTTTAGAAAAACTCAAAAAATTCCAAAAAAATTTCGAATTTCGAAAGAACCGGAATATATGTGATAGTCTCTGCGCTCTTCGATATACAAACCAAATGTTAGATCGATACCTCTTTTTTTGGCCAAGTTATAGCAAAAAAACTGTTAAAAATTGATGGCGTCAAATTTTTGAACTCAATTTTTAGCAATTCTAGAGCTCGTAGCGCAAAACGGAGATCACCATTGAACTTCCCGTGATGAGCTGCATCGAATAGATACCCATTTTATGCAAAAATATCAACTTTGAAATTTGACCTAATTTGACCTGACCTTGTCCTGACCTTGACCAAAACGTGACCTAAGCTGGCCCTTAAGTCTGTCTGACCCACATAATCGCATTTGTCATGTAAAATGGACCATAAAACATGTATCACACGACACTTTCATATTGTGACCCCCCCCCCCCGTGACCTGACCTCTGTGACCTGACCTGGTATCAGTGACCTCAAATAGCAAAATATGTGTTTGAAGAACATTTCCCCATCGATGATTTTCAATGAAATGCATTTTACACGATTTTACAACGCATTTCTTGAAATGCCTGTAAACGGTGAAAATTCGACCTTTGACCTGACCTGTGACGTCATCGGTTTGACCGAGGTCAATGAAATTGGGTCACAAGGTAGTTCCCCCTTGGGGCTATCCAACACCGTTTACCGCTTGTCGCTATGTTGCGTGGTTCTCGAGATCTGAGGGGGGGCCAAAATGCCCCCCCCCCCCATCAGACCACGTTGCTCGGCAGACCCCATCTGGGCGCGGGTTAACCTGCCTGTCACAAACAACCAACGTGTTCCCAGATAGCTGGAAAACGGCGTGTGTTGTCCCCCTTCCTATAGCAGGCGACCCGTCTGTACCTACCATCCAACAAACGGTCCATTTCACTCCTAAGCGTTCTGTCCAGGATACTGGAGAGTGGAGAAGGTAGTGAGCACACAGCTAGCCTCCTACCTGTCCGAGACCAGCCCTTTTCATCCCTCTCAGTTCGGCTACAGGTCTCACCACTCGACGGAGGGCGCCGTGCTCGTCGCGATCAATCGCCTGGCCGACGACAGTCGCGTGAGGCGGGAAACTTAGGTACTCTACCTGTGACATGCAGTGTGCCCAAGGGCTCTATGACCAATTGTAAGGTCACGAGGTCAACTTGAAAATTTGGCCTCAGGTCGAGGTCATGCCCTGACCGGAAAAGGTCATGTTGCATATCAGTCGATCCGTTATATCGTCGAGCCGAACACATCTAAGGCGTTTTCATCGCTCTAGCATGTCTCTATCAGAAAATATCAGTGAAAAAATTGCTGGATAACATTTGTGACCTGAGATGACCTCGGGGACTGAGGCGTCACGGGTGCCATTTTTCGGTTCAGTGTGTCATGCTCACTTGTAATTCGGTGTTTGAAAGTTTTAAGAATGACGTTGAAAACCTTACATAAGCATTGCGCCAGGTCAGCTGCTGGCCTGGGCAGCGTCAGCTCGGGTACTCTCATCGCCCCAGACCAGCGACTTCCAGGAGGCTCTCTTTATCGGGCGCGGCCAGCAATTCAGCTCCGATAGGGGTGGCCATGCGCGTCTTATCTGGACGCCCGTCTCTGGAACCGTGGTCGTTAATAGAACTCCGACTGATACCGGAACAAGAAGCAGACGCACGACAAAGCTGCCGGCGCCGCTGGTCGCCGGCGGCAGCACAAGGACGGCGATCGCCACGGGGCCTGGTAGGTACAGCTGGGTTCAGCGGCGCTCAGCTGGCTGGGACCGGCCACCGCGGCACCGCCACATCAGGTGGTAAACTATACAGTACTCTCTCGCCAGCTCCTCCCCCGCCATCTGTACAGTGTGACCTGTGCACCATACAGTAAGTAGATACTCTGTCACCTGCAGCCGACCATTTTCAGGCAAAAACATACTCAATACTCGTCTATCGTGCGTATATTTTCTATGTATAAGCATGCATAACGCGATCGGATACAAGTCCCGCACTCGCGCACACAGGGACGTCCTTACGCCGTGCATACGGCGTGCCGTGGTGGGGCGCCGAGCCGCGCGCCGCCACACCCATCCGGCCGGCGCGCGGCCCCGGCGGCACGGCCGGCGTCGCCCACAGCGGGCGGCCCCGGCGGTCGGCCAGTGTTCGTTGTCCGTCTCCTGTGAACCTGCGGCTCAAACTATCGGGAACAGCACCCGACTGCCCCGCTGAGCCTGCCCCTGTCTGTCTGTCTGTCTGTCTGTCTGTCTGTCTGTCTGTCTGTCTGTCTGTCTGTCTGTCTGTCTGTCTGTCTGTCTGTCTGTCTGTCTGTCTGTCTGTCTGTCTGTCTGTCTGTCTGTCTGTCTGTCTGTCTGTCTGTCTGTCTGTCTGTCTGTCTGTCTGTCTGTCTGTCTGTCTGTCTATCTCTCCGTCCGTCTGTCTCTCCGTCCGTCTGTCTCTCCGTCCGTCTGTCTGTCTGTCTGTCTGTCTGTCTGTCTGTCCGTCTGTGGTCAGGTCCGCTCGGCTGATATGTAATGGCGCCGACCTCCGCCACGGTCTCGGCAGACCAGACCCGGCCCCGGCAGACCCGGCCCCGGCAGACCCGGCCCCGGCAGACCCGGCCCCCGGCACCGACCGGGACGGGCCAGGGTGACCGTGTCACCGCAGTAGTGTCACCGTCACACGTCACCTGCGTCACACGTCACACAATACGTCACCTGCGTCATACGTCACATACTCAGCGCCCCCCTGGAGTCGGCCGGCAACAGAAAGACATGAAAAACGACCACCAAAAACATCCGGAATACATCATTGGCAAATTAAACAAGTTCACTGGTCAATAATAGAGTCGATCAACGTTCGAAATAAGGTACACAGATGTCAAACATCGCACCACACACGATCGCAGCCGACCGTTCGGCCGTCGATCCCGTAACAATGGCCGGCTGGGGCTGTGCAGGCCGGCCACAGCGCGCGCGCGCGCGCAGTGCACCGCAACCGCACGCACCTTGAAGGACTAACAATGCCGCTCAGTTCCGAGAGGCCGCGCGGCGCGGCCAGGCTACGGCCGTATATAGAACATTAGGTACAATATATCGTGGGCTACGCGGCGGCTGGCTGCGGCGGGCCGCCTGGCTGCCGGGACGGTGGCGGGCCGCGGCTCGGCGCCCTCACGGCTCGCTGGGCTGGCCGGGCTGCTCTGGCGCCAGCCGCTCGTCCTGGATCCTCTCGAAAACCTCGTACAGAAACAGGTACTGCCGAGAGACGGACAAAGTCAATAGACCGGCCAGCCGGCGGGCCCGGCGCGGGGGATGCCACCGCTGTCCATGGGGCGAACACAGACGGACGGCCAAAGGTCAGTCACACACGGCCACCATCACACCAGCCACAAACACACACACACACAAACACACACTTACAGGGACGCCGTCTAACCAGCAACCCGGGGGCGGGTGACCAGAGAGAATCAAACACAAAAGAGCAAACGTCATTCGGAAGGGGAAACCATTGAAACGACACAAGACCGGCACCACCATCAGTGGCACGACCGGCACCAATAGCCAATTGCACAACGTGCGGCGAGAGTGCCCTCCTCTGCATCCGACAGCACCGATCTGTCCATCCATCCCGACAGCACCTACCCGTCCTCTCCACCCGACAGTAACCATCAGACATTTACTGGCAATGAAAACCGCACAAAATATTCCTGATATTTGATAGGAATCCCATAGTTTGACACCGTTTTTAGGTCCCACCCCGTCATTGGCCTGTGACGCCATAAATGAACCTCTGCACGGTCCAGAAATGATGCAACTTTGTAGTGCTCTTAGTGCCAAGCAATCCTTCACAGATTTCGAAGAGTAGAAAGCTCGCGAGCTAATACAACATCCATGACTCTGATCTTTCATAAGGATCACCTGAGGTCATAGGCGACCTTATTTTTCCCTTTTCTTAGCAGCTTGTTATAAAGCGCTGGAAATGATATTCCATTCTACATACACACATGAAATCGTAACTGCATACAATCCTTGTAAATCCGATACATAGATTATGCTTTGGTGGCTGTCTGGGTGTATACATGACGTTATACATGATTAAATGATGTTTTCACGGCTTTCAACTGGGTAATATATAAAAATTGCTATTCTGTATATTTCGGCATATTTTGCTATACCTTTTACATCAGAAACGAGTTACATTTCAAAATGACGAATAAGTTTGCGTAGCGCCAAAATTGGTATAAGAAAATGTTAAAATCGCGCAGATATTCCCAACACACTTATCACAAGAGGATGCGGATATCGAAGCCATTATCACATCAAGAAAAGAGGAACAGCGAAGCATCACGAAAGAAACATGACATATAGGTATACGCATCAGCCAAGCTAAGAAGACCTGGCATTCAGAAAACAAGCTGCAAATATAGGTCGCTGTGCCAATCGATCGTAGGTATGTACTATCAGTCGATAGGTCATCAAAAGATTCTGTCACCCGAGCAACGTAACAAATTAAAAGAAGAGCTCAGGCTTGCGTGCATGAAAACGGTTCTCACTTCGAGCGCGCTCTGAAAGCCTAAACGTAGCTCAAACTTAAAGTTTAGGTATGTGTGCAGATGAAATGTTAGAATGTGCTTATGAAAAAAATATATAATTTCTGGCAGTTGATGTTTTTTTCTGGTACCGCAATTGCTCTTTACTTTTTGCCCTGCATAAAAAATCCCCCAGAAGTATTCAAGTTTTTTTTTTAAGAATGACTATACCATATCATCAAGTATGTACATTGGACGTCGGTACCTAATTCGCTGCTCAATCTAAACTTTAACGTCTTAGTTTTCATAGCGCGTCAACACTATGCCCTTAAACTACACCAAATGCTAATAAACTGCTTCCAGGCGACATGAAAAAGGCACGGAACAAAAACAAACGGGCGGCGGCGCGCGACACGCAGCACCTGCGCCACGTCATGCGGCCGGGAAGTGGCGCCGGCCCAGCGCGCGCGCCGCCGAGCCGTGCCGTCAGGGTCACGGCGCGCCGGCGCCACTTCCCGGCGGCCGCGCGCCAACTGTTTGGACTTGGGTCCCGAGTAGGTGACTGCACGGCGTCCCAAAAGTCTAACAACAACTACTTTATCACAATTCAAGTCTTTGTTATGAGCGTTATCACGGCTGCGTTCCTGTTCTCATGGGAAGATGAAGAAAGCACTAGGAAATATATGTACCTATCACGTTAAACATGGTGTTTTGATCTGAAGTAGCAGCTTTGTAGCTTGAGCTGAGACTAGCACAAATCAGGAGCTTTTACACCCCAGTGACCACCCTAAGCAAACATATTCTCGTTCGGCAAAGAGTCCCTTATAGAGGAATGTGTCCCTTGTAGAAGAATGCCAGGAATGCAGCCACCTATCGCAGAGGCTTAACCCTCGCCCGCATTGGTGTTTTTCCAGCCGCGAACGTATAGGGGGGGGGGGGGGTCCTCGCCCCTGATCGAGCTAGAGCTTCGCGGAAAAAACGAGCGTGTTGCCCGTGACGAGAGGATGCCAATGATACCCAATTTTAAGGTCCTAGGTCATCGGGTGACCTTCCAGGTCAGGTCAATGACCCAAAAGTCGGGAAAATCGGGACCTGTTAGGAAGTCGTAAAGCGTGGCTGCTACGGGGTTTTTCGGGGTGCTGATCACGAATATCATGTTAATTTCTATCACAGATGATGTCTTCATGCATTTAGGCCAGGTCGGGTCAGGTCAGGTCAGGTCAACCAGTAAGGGTATTCGTAGTAGGTGGCAACCGCCTCTGATAGCTTCGTAACATGTTACGAAGGCACCAAAACTACTTCGTAAATGTTTATATGGTTGCTAAATTCGAATTCAGCTCCAAAAACTGGCCTAGAAACATGCAAAACTCGAAAAAGTGAACCCAGGTCATCAAAGGTCAATGACCTGACTTGACCTTCCGGTGACCTTGACACCCACCCTCATGCATCATAAGCAAACATCATATCCCATGTTTGAACGCTTAAAACCACGAAAAGACTACAAACGCGCTGCTAGTGCGAGCCGACATACGCCGAATCGCGATTCCGGCCAAACATGGTCTCGAAAAGTAGGTCACAGGTCAAAGGTCATTAGGGGTCAGGGTCATGAAAATTTCAGGGTAGGTGTAAAATTGATTAACGCGAGGATACTGTAAGTTTCGTCGCGATCGGCCGTTTTTTACGCGAGTTATTCGCGAAAAACCGAGGGGGGTTCCGTTCGACCCCCCCTCTAGTTATACGGGCGAGGGTTAACTTTCAGCCAATCGCCTTGCAGATAGGTTGCATCAAATGCACTGTTTTTGTCTACGGCTTAGTGCGAGTCTATGCAGCTTTAATTTGATTGAGCAATGCATCGTTACCTTCAGTTGCAAATAGTAGGCCTACGTGGCCTCTATTAAAGATAAAAGTAGCCCTTTCTTTATCAAAATATAGAAAACAATCCTTTTTATAAAAAGGTTTTCTTTTCTTTTCTGATCATATTGAGTTAAGAATAATAAATCCATTGCAAAAAAACTAATTTCAGGAAAGTGAACCACTCCCTTTAACTCGGATCATTCGTGGATGTTGTATCGCCGCATTGCTGACCGCAGTTTTGGCGTCTGTTGGCGAACTCTTGTCAGTTGCATACAGTTGCATCAGTTGCACCAAACGGGTCAATCGGCCAGAGGATGGGCGCTGACGCGCTACTGGATTACTGGCCGTGGGTGCGTGTCAGCGGAATAACGCTCAACAGATTGCACTGAAAACTGTTTTACCCGAAGCAGGCCAATACATCCTTGTTCAAATGATAAGCTGTGTGGAGTCTTACGTAATATTCCTAACAACCAGTATAACGCCTTTTGGGGCGACTAACGGAGCGAGCGAGAGGGTGGGCCTTGCACGTGCGAAATTGCGAGGGGGTACCTCCAACTGACTTGTGCACGGCACCCTACTAACTGGTCTCTAGCGATGTGCCAAATTTGGGCACAATCGGCCCAGCCGTTCTCGAGATCTGGAAGCGGCACCCTGCACGTGCGCACGTGCAAGATGGGTCCCAACTGACTTGTGCACGGCACCCTACTAACCGGTCCCTAACCGTGTACCAAATTTGAGCGCAATCGGTCCAGCCGTTCCCGAGATCTGGAAACGACCCCTGCACGTGCGCACGTGCAGCAGCACCCCAACTCTGGCACATGTATATGCAGTGCCTAGTGGGTGCCTACCTACATGCCAACTTTCAGCGCAATCGGCCAAGTAGTTACCGAGATATTGCAACAATTACAAAAGTGACACCTCTTCGTTTTGCACGTGGCACGTGCATAAGGGGTCACCCACATGCATCGGGAATAGTCCAATACTTGGTAGAAGGAATGAAGCTACCCTACAAAAATTACCGCGTGTAAATCGGTCAAGTGGTTGCTGAGATATAAGCCTCGCAAAAGCGTGACCACGGCCGGCCGGCCGGCCGGCCGGCCGGCCGCTCATACTCAGAAATTTCCGTTAATCTAAGGAAAGACTACGCTCGCTTCGCTCGCTCCGTAATCAGGCCTGTGGTTCGGACGGCGTAGGTGCGAGGATTATTAGCCCTCGCCCGCACATGCCATTTTCCCATCCTAGAACGCACATGGGGGGGGGGGGTGGTTGCCACCCCCCCCCGCGCCATTTCGTTCCTGTTGGAGATAGAGCTTAGCAGTAAAGACCAAAAAGATTCTTTGGGAAGAGACGAATCCAATGATACCCAGTTTTACCTTCTCAGGTCAGTCATTGACCTTCCAGGTCAGGTCAAACTAAAAAATGTTGCTGTTTTGGGTCACCGTTGGATATCAAGTGCGCTGCTTATCAAATACCGATGACGATGCTGTTTTCTGGTGCCAAGCCAGCTAGAACCTCTTTGTCACACTATCCGACCAGAATTTTGCTGCTGAGGTCATTTCAGGTCAAGTTAGGTCAAGGTCAATTATATGTGTTTGTATGTCTGTGTGTGTCTGTATGTATACTGATGTGTGCACCGATTGTTTTTCGGTCCATATTACATGAAATCATGATCTGAGAAGCTTTTACCAAAAATGCAGTCAAAAAACTTCACAAAAAGTAAATTCAGCTTGCCTAAAACGCAATTATCTTAGATGACCTAGGTTGACCTTGACCCTGACCTTGACCCCTGTACATCGTCGAACAACATGTTCCATGATAGGTGGGAGGTAAGACTGGCAAAAAAGGCCGAAATCAGGGTGTCAAAAGCTCACA